TATATATATATTGGTGGCTCATTTTTGTCATAGTGCTTGACTTTCATTTGCAGTTGTTGCATTTCCGCTGGCATCGCCCTGGTTTGTCTCTGGCAGTGTGGGGCATGTTGGGTTCTGTCCCAGGACATCTGGTTACAGCACACACAGATTGTGCTGATGTGATCCAGTGAGAGGAGGGTGAGGAGGCAGGCCTTCCTCAATAAACACAGATTCAATGCATTAAGCATTTGACAAACGCTTTTCAAATTCCTTTTAAACAAACTTTGCAATAACATCATTCCTCAAATCATGCATCTTTTTGAAAAGAGGCGTGTTATTTCTTTTAAAGTACTGAATCTCTCAAGGTTGCTACTGAGGAGTTTGTGTGGGTCTGCAGCTTTGGAACAATACAGTATGAATTGAGCTTTACAAAGCAAATTGAAGATGTGCAGATCAAACAATAGCATGAATTATTAAACTAGTGAAGATGTGTGGCTCAGGGAGAGCATGCAGGGCTACTTTGAGGTAAATAATACCATGTAAAGCTAAAAACAAATAGCACTGAGTGATGTTCTGCAAGGACTTTAAAAAGAGTTTCATGGGTTTGGGAGAGAATTCATGCAGTTTGAATGTTTTTTTTTTTTCTTCTCACATTTGGTTTAGTTTCTTATTTTGTATTTCAGAAACATGCATTTATGTTTGCAATATGTAGTTTGCAGTATTCCTAAAATACATGATCACCCTGATGCCATTTTAAGAACTTTTTAGTCTATTTCGTTAGTAAACCATCATATACTGGTGTTTTGAAGAACCTGAAAATCAAAATATTGATCTGAAGAGCAAATAATGAAACATCAAGAACCTTTAATCTCCAAAGAACCTTAAATACTACTGTTCAAAAATTAAGATTTTGTTTATTTTGAAAAAAAAAATGTCTCTTGTGCTCACCAAGGCTGCGTTTATTTAATTAAAAATTACAGTAAAAACCGTAATATTGTGAAAAATATTATTACAATTTAAAATAACTTTTCTTTTTAAATATATTTTATAATGTAATTTATTCCTGTGATACAAAGCTGAATTTTCAGCATCATTACTCCAGTCTTCAGTGTCACATGATCCTTCAGAAATCATTCTATATCCTGATTTGCTGCTCAGGAAATATTTATTATTATTATCAATGTGGAAATAGTCATGCTGCTTAATATTTTTGTGGAAATCATGATACATTTTTGATTTTCATGATTTTTTTAAATAGAAAACTGTATTTATTTTAAATAGAAAACTTTTGTAGCATTATAAATGTCTTTACTGTCACTTTTGATTAATTTAGTGCATCTTTACTGAAAGTATTAATTTCTTTTTCTTTCTTTCTTTCTTTCTTTCTTTCAAGAAAAAAACTTGAACTAAAATAAAGCTTCTTTGTTGGCATTATTATTCTATAAAGAACCTTTAACATGCATGAAAATCTACTTTTTGGTTCATCCTGGCACTTTTATTTTTAAAAATCTAGATGCAAATACACAATTTTTCCAGATGCAGACACTGATTCCATTTCTTAAAATGTCATATATTTAATGTCATATACAGAATTCACATTAGTCACTAAAAATTTTAATGGTACAATCACAGGTCAATAACCTGAAATAGAATAAATAGAACTCTTCCATTAGTAAACGCTATTAATATGTTAACTGTAATAGTGAGGTGACTATCAAAGTGTATAAGAAAACTACAGTCTATATATGAATTAGTAGTCATGTCAACAGCTCCAGTCATGTTAGTGCTAAACATCTTGACTAAATTGTTATTTTTTCGTGCTTACATACTGTATGTAAAATACATCATCCTTTTTCAGATCCTTTTTTTCTAAGAAGAACAAAACTGAAAGAATAGGTTCAGTAGAGTCAGTTATTGCAGTTATGAGACGTAGCCTACAGTTGATCAGATCTGATGGGTCTGCAGACTCAGGAAATGCCCTGCGATGGTGACTCCGAAATACCAGGATGTCCTCCTGGCGGACGGAGAGGTCACGGGGGTCGACGGTCACCATGGCAACAGAGTCTACATTCATAGTCACAATAATGCTCAGTGTTCCGAACAGAACCCTTCTGTACGCCAGCCGGTATGATGTCACGGTGATGTCATTCCGAAGTGCCGACCCGTTCTGGATTCGCTTCCAAAAGCAGCTCCATCCTCGAATATCGTCTGAATATCCGTTGTAAATCAGCGACTGCAGAGCTTGGGTTCTGAAGAGGCTTTATCGTTGTCATTTCATGTGATCTGCTTTCAGTCTGGAGAAGAAGAAAAAAAAAGCTGTTAGTTTGCATCACAAGATTTGGTTTGAGCTTCAACAGATGCCACTAATTAGAAAATTCATGCATTAAAGTGTGCGATCTGTCTTCTATGTCTTCTAGCTTTAAGCGAGTTATTCAAGAGAAGGTGACGGGTCATGAATGCACACACACACACACTTTGAGCGGTCTGGACTCTTATCAAGCTCTGATCAGAGAATCAGCTGACAGGCACCTGCTGTTCACAAAAGCATTGAAAACAAACTGACATTCAGGAATATTCTGGGTTATTTTATCTTAATATCTACAGACAACATCTATAGCATCTGTTGACTGCCTCAGAAAATAATTGATTCAGATACAAATATGATAAAAGATCTGAAAGCATTCAGTGTTAAAGGGATATGGTAGTTCAGCTGAAAAATGGAAATTCTTTCATCATTTACTCATCCTAATATACTTCCAAACTTGTAAGGCTTTCATTCTTTGATGTGAGGGTGAGTAAATGACACATCACTTTAAATAACGTTACACAAAAATGGATTAAAAATGAAAATCTATTTTTAAGATAATGAGTAGACAGCACTTGCTGAATTGCATGAGGTAAGTGTTACAGAATAATAGATTTAAAGGAATAGTTCACCCAGTAGTTCATTGGAACAGATGGATCAGTGGATGCTCTGCAGTGAATGGGTGCCGTCAGAATGAGAGTCCAAACAGCTGATAAAAACATCACAGTAATCCAGTGATGAAGTAATCCATACAACTCCAGTCCATTAATTAATGTCTCGTGAAGTGAAAAGATGCGTGTTTATAAGAAACAAATCCATCATCAAGGCTTTTTAAACTTTAGTGCTGTCAAATGATTAATCGCGATTAATCGCATCCAAAATAAAAGTGTTTGTTTACATAGTATATGTGTATGTACTGTGTATATTTATTATGTATATATAAATACACACACATGCTTGTATATATTTAAGAAAAATATGTTGCGTTTATATATTAAAAATATTTATAATATAAATGTTATGAATATAAATATATACATGTAAATATTTTCAAAATATATGCTGTATGTGTGTGTATTTATATATACATAATATACACAGTACACACATATCTTATGTAAACAAAAACTTTTATTTTGGATGCGATTAATCGCGATTAATCGTTTGACAGCACTACTTTAAACTGTTACTTCCAACTAAAATACAAGTCCATAATCCATAATAGCACTTCCACCAGTGAAAAATTCCATCCCTTGTTGTCCTCTCACATCAAAATCCACCCACATATTTATTTAAAACTGTTTTCATTTGTAAACAGTGCTTGATCTGTGCATATTTCTCTCCCAATTTAGAAAATATGACATTTTCACTGGAGAAAGCAATATTATGGATAGAGGACTCATATTTTCAGGGGTTAAAGCAAAAAAAAAATCTTTTGACTGAAATTTTTTCCTCGGCTAAACCCTGCTCCACAGCCAAACCCGTCACACAGCCAGTTTAAAAGCAGTGTTTTTCTTCTTGTAATTAGGAGCGCTTGTCCTCCTAATTTAAAAAATTTAGGAGCATCTTCTAATTAATAATAAAAAATTCTGATCAAGAATTAGCCTTCCTAATACGAGCTGACATTTGACTCAAAGTGATTTCAGGGGCATTTTCTTTTTACCTTTGTAAATGCATTTTTCTAATTTTATTAAATGTATGCAGTGTTTTCTCTAGGATTTTTTCCAGCTGTGGTGGCAGGACTATTTCTCATGGACCACGCCTCCTCCCCACCCAAGAATCACGTGCACTCAGAATTGAATTTATTTTAACTATAAGAGGCAAGTAAATAGTAAATAATAAAATAAGAACAAATAAATTATTGACAACCAATAACGCAAACAAAAACAATAACAAGAAATGTTTTCAGTTAGGTCTAACTATAATCAACTCAACTGTAAAATAACACTGGATAGTCTTCATTGTATAATGAAAGACAGCAGCAGGCTTATTTAGGCTGCTGTCTCTTTAAGACCTCATGCACGGATCTAATATACTGTTACACATGGCTCTATGCGTACTTTTCTTTTTAGGAGCGCTTGTCCTCCTAATTAAAAAAATTTAGGAGCACCTTCTGATCAATAATCACAA